TAATTTTTCATCATTTATCTCCCTGTAATTCATGTTAATCAGTGTGGGGATTTCATAAGTCGTTTACAACATTCATGTCAGTCCAACACGGCCTCTCATGTTGTAAACTGTACTTGTCAATTTTGTTTATCTATGTGAAGGTTTTTAAAGTTAGTAATGCTAATTTTTTTTTTTTTGGAATTGACAAGATCCATTCACTTACCATTCTAGCCCTTCCAGTCAGAGCTTCATCTTGTTTCTTATTTCAAGCCAACAAATAAGTCAAAACAATAATAAACATTAATAGAAAAATCTTCTTTCTCATTCAGAATGCTAAAGGTACAGTGAAATTAGTATCAAGTATGAATTTTACGAAGCTCACATCATTCAATGTTGTATTGTTCACTGACGTGAGCAATATTAACAACATTGAAACTGTGTTGAAGAAAGAAGGTGCCTTCAAAACCCAAGTTGGTTACTTTTATCGAAAAGGAAAAAACTCCAACACCAAAGGTACATGACTTGTATATAATTTATGGATAGAAAAAAATGCATTCCATCTGTACATTATTTGTCGCTGTCTCAGTGAAAAGTATGGTATTGTTTTTCTGATGAAAATTGATCAAAATTTTGAGTGGGCATTATAAAAATGATACATGCTTTGTTTTTAACCTTTCTGCTAATGTTTTGTTTTCCAGGATCCTTATTGCAAGAAAGTCTATTGCCTTTTGTAATTGGGCAGTGGTCTTTGTCAAAAGCACTCACTACGGGACTCATTTCAGGTGTCAATGATGATGTTATAGAAGTCCTGTGCAAGAAAGGGGAGGACATCCCAAAGCAAGCCTTTTCCTGGCTTGTTCATCACCTGTCTAAGGAAGGGGAAACTGTACTAGATGCAGATTCAGAAAATGGTTATGTTTTCATATTTGCACTGAATACTGGAAGAAATGGGCTGTTCATCACAACTTCTGAAGACAAGGATGAACTCAATTACAAAATCCACMAGTCATTAGAGAAGGTTGAGGCTCCATCAGCAACCGCCAATAATTAGTGATATTTTGTGAAACTACATGCACTTAATCTGTGACAAAAGTAGCACTAGTGCAAAATAACTGTGTTTTGTCTGCCATTTTGCTACTTGTTCATGGATTAAGTGTGTGCAGTCCAGGAAGGTACGAGTACATTTTTTAATTTTAATCTTGATCAGATTTTGTTGCAGAAATTCTGCAACTTCTGTGATTCTAGGGTGCAAAAATTCTGCAACTTCTATAGATTCTAGGGTGCAGAAATTCTGCAACTTCTATGATTCTAGGGTGCAAAAATTCTGCAACTTCTATAGATTCTAGGGTGCAGAAATTCTGCAACTCTATGATTCTAGGGTGCAGAAGTTCTGCAACTTCTATGATTCTAGGGTGCAGAAGTTCTGCAACTTCTATGTTTCTAGGGTGCAGAAATTCTGCAACTTATGTGATTCTAGGGTGCA